TATGTCCTTTTTTTAAATTCTTTTGTTTGTCTGAAACACCCTAAAAAAAATTTTTTTAAAAAAAAAGAAAAAGTAAAGGCCCCTTCTAAATGCCTTTTTGCCTATTGGGTATACGCTACAAATTTTTATAGACCAGTTGGCATCGGGGGTGATGGCCAGGACTAAACCCTGGTACCCTTTTAAGGCGGGTCAACCTGGGAGCTGAGGAATTTTTGAAAGAATTTTAATTCCAGCAGGTCGCAAACCCCACGCCCTTTTTTTTGATCTGAGGCGACATCTATCTAGCCGATAAAAGGGGGGGGCTCAATACCCCATAAGGCGCAGGACGCAGCTTGGGGGGAAAGGGGGGGCAGAGGGCATGAATTTTTTTACAAAATGGAAGCCCCAAACCCCACACGGAATTGATTGCATTAAAAGTTGAGGTGTGTGTGATACGTGTAGGCGTTTTGCATGTGTCTAAAAGATGTCAGACCCTGAAAATTTTGTTCTGCGCCCCCACAAATGGGAAAGACGCTGTATATGGTTCCATCTATACCAATTGCTGCCTAATTTTGGTAGGTATTTTTTTTCTTTTCTCCCTTTTACCCCCCCAGTGAAGCATAGGCTTTAACCACCCGTGTAGATCTCCTACTTTCTATTGCATGAGTTAGCCATGTTGCTCCTCTGTTAATTCACTCTAGCTCCCAGTATGTTTTTGTTGTTGTGTTTTTCACTTTTTTTCTTTGCTTATATGGGTTCCATTTTAAAGCCCTTCTAGTTATTTTTTACGGGCTTTCTCAGTTTGTGTCTTATGAAATGTCAGCATTTTTTTCTCAGCCTTGTTTCATTAAATTTGTTAAGTTCTGTCCCAGAGCTCGCATAGCTTTTTGTCAAAAGGTTTTGATTCCATAATAAATTAGCGATACCCCTTTAATAAAAATTTTGTTATACTTAGTAACTGTTAGTTTTTTCCCTTTTCCTTTATAAAAATTTTTTTCAGAACTCCCCCCCCTACCCAAAGGTTTTCACTTATACTCTGTAGGTGCAGATAGAAATGCAGCCATCAAATCTTGTTTCTGAACTCCGCGCCGAGGTCACCCATTGGTGGGAAGACCTGCAGAAACAGCAGCCCAAGCAGTCGACCTCGACCTCCAGCCCCGGGATCATGTCCCCGTTGTTGGGTCACATGCTGGGCGAAGGGCCTCTGAGAATGATCAGTTCTGGGCAGGAGCTGTTTGTCGATATGGACGAGAGGACCCTTCATGATCTTCACATCAGCGATGGACAGGTGGGTTATATTCGTTTTTATATAACTTTTACTATTATTTAACTTTTATTTTTTTAAATATGACAGTTAAAACGTGTAGGGTCTGTGGTTATATTCATTATTTTGGTACAGATCACCTTTACCTTATGGTGTGTGGTCTAGCCCTATTTCTGTGCCCCTTTGAGTTCTAGTGTAAATTGTTTTATATTTTCTCAATCTGTGTCAAGAGTTAGCCATTTGCCATATTATTACAGCCTAATTTCAAAGAATACATGCATGTGATTTCTTGACTCCAGCATGTGTTTGTCTCAATCGGAGCTAACCGGCAACAGAGGAAAAGTGATGGGTCCATTCCCGTCCTCCGCCCTGCCCATCCCAGACAGAAAGAAGCTGCCCATGAATCTCCTTATTGCTGAACCTCATTTTGATAACCTGTTCAAGCTTCTGGAGCAGCTCAGTGACCTCAGTTCACAGCTGGACAATGTGGTATGTATACTTTGCTTATTCATCCCCACTGAATTAATGGTAATAATCAAAGAACAGATTAGTGCCCTAATATGTATTTAAAGTCAAAGCCTGATTGTAGGACAAGTACAGCAATTTAAATATCTTGGCACGTGGATAGCATTCAACAGAAGATTTATCGCAGAGATAAAGAACACAACAATCAGATGACTACTGGTACCATCAGAATTGGAACTCTTCACTTGCTGATGAAGATGGGGGGACTGAGCACTTATGGGAGTGTCTCAAGTGCTGTGATGTCGATTCTTAATTCAATATTCAACAGATAAAGAACAGAATATGACAGGCTAAAACTGCATTATATAAAATGAACATTTTATGCAATAAATTCATGTCGGCTTATATAGTGAGCACAATATTCTGTGGGTCTAAATCCTGGATTTGTACCCAGGACAATCAAGAAAGTTGAACCTCGCCTTCCTTAACCATATGAGATGTCCCGAGACATCCGGCGTGATCATCACCATTTTTTCTGTTGGATGATACTTGGCCCCTGCCCAGATAGGCCTGAAGAGAAAATTTTGCTTTGCTTATATCTGCAAGAACGGCACAATAGGACAGGCCGAAACTGCATTTTGTGCAATTAATCCAAGTCACTGAAGGTTAGGAAAAGAATTGTTGCATGCTATATTGAACCAGTTTTATTAAATGGCTGTGAATCCTGGACAATTAATAAACAAGCTAAATAATATCTTGAGGCAGTCAGATACGGCTTTTTTTTTTTTTATAAAGAAGAATCATTAAATTCCCTCCGGGAAGCTCAATCAGAGCACTTAGAATCAATGGACGGAGTTGAAAAAGCAACCCAGCGAGGCTTCGAATATAACTTATTACAAACATTAGAAAGACCATGTTATGAGAAAAGGGAAACGAACATGTTGTGACCACTGAAAAGATCTGTGGAAAGAGAGAGAGTGAAAGACAGCAGGAGAAGATTCTTGACAGTCTTTTATCTTGGCATGGAGGGGTGTCAAGACACAAACTGATACACAGGTACTTAAACGCAGATTTGAGGCATCACGGTGTCACTTGTGGACAAGGCATGATCACCCACACTAGTATTTTCACCTTGACTGATGATTCGGGTTAGAAAGAATATGATTGTAGAGAATCAGAATTGAATAATTAAAAACAACATTCTTTCATTTGTTCTACACATTTGTTCTTTGCATCTGTAAAACAAATATCGACCCAAAAATAAAAGGGGGGGAGGGGCGCTAAGTAGGTCGCATGTTGCATGGCTAAATCTCTTCAAACATTTTGCATTTCCCAGTGACACCAAGAGTAGAATTTGAAAAATAAATATTGATATGGGTGTCATTCATTATGGTGTTTATTCTTTTTCAAGAGACTTGAAGTAAACTTTCAGACGGTTCATACAGAAGATTGTGGAAAAAATAATAAATTCCATGACAGGCTCTTAAAACAAGTGTGGGAAATAAAACTGAACAGCCCATATGCTCTGCTTCAGTGAGCTGAGCTGCTGATGTCAGGTGGATAATAACTGGGCTGTTATTCAAGAGACCCATGTTTGAATCTTTGGTATCCCCAGGTGGGTTCAAGAAACCCATCGTGGGGAAAACAAGAATAGACCCACTGCCTCCCCAAAAACATGTTGTAGGTGTCGGTTTCCTTTGAAGTCAAGGGTGCATCTGCCTCAGAGGCAAGGGGCCAACAGTCTGCATATAAATCAGTCAGATCTCTAAAACGGATGTGCATGCATTACTTAAGTTCTGGAACAAGTCCAGACTAGGGTAAACAACCAGAACTTTCTGCTGGAGTTTACAGCCGGTGACGACGAAGAAGATGAAGAAGAAGAATACCCACTAAGGTGATAAGTTTGTGTTTTGTAAGGGGCAAAAACAAAACTGGAACCTGCACTGTCCGTGACCCCTGCACTAATCATGCGACCCTTAAATCCTGAGGCTCAAGGCCCCCCCCCCCCCCCCCCCTAGTCACTCCCCCCCTTCCCCTTCCCAGCCCTAAACGTGCCTTTAAAAAAAAAATGGTATATACAGAAAGAGAGTGAGTGAGTGAAATTGGACCCCACTAGGATCATCACATAGTGAGCGATTAACACCCTGTGATGCAAAGTGCAATTCATTATTACTCTGGCGAGAATCCCTGGGTACACCTCCCTGTTCAGCTTTTAGATTATTTTACAGCCCTTGACAAGTAACCTGGAGTCCAGACAGGGTAGGGTTATATGTTTTGTGCAGGAAGTGAGGACAGTTAAGCTTCAATCTGAGGTCTTTCACAGTTGTTGACATGGACATGTTTATTCTTGCAGGAGAAAGAAAAGAAGCCCAGCCTACAGGCCGAGGCCAGGCGCTTGTCTCGAGACGTCTGGGAGTTGCTGATGATGCTGCCGTCTAACGAAAGTCTGCTGAATGGGTTCTTGAAGATCTCCACAGACCAGGTACCTCCTTGCAAATATCTCTCTAGAAAATTTAGTCACGTTTGTTTCCTTGACCATGGCAGTTTTAAACAACTACAAGATTTTACAGCAGTACAATATATCTGGTTGAGGTGGCCAGAAGAGCAGGAAGCAGAACCTCATGTCTCCCCCAGCACTCGAAGTGGTGAAGAAGTGAAGGAGGAAAAAAAAGTGATGTCACGTATATTATTTAATTTATTTTCTACAGGAGGTGACTAAAGAGGAATGGAACCAGCTTCTTCCACCAAACAGCCCTCACAGACTGTACTACTCTCTACAGACTGTGGAGTTCTTAGCTCATGGTACCCGACTGGCACAGAAGAGTATGGTAAGTAGTATGTTATGCTTGCTGCTCATTAGTTATTACTGCTGAGCATTTTATACGCCTTTGGCCATATCCATCAAAGATAAATACCCCCCTCCCGACTCCATGGGGTCTCTGGGACCCCGTAGTGTGTGTGGGGGGGGGGTGGGGGGGGGGGGGGGGGGGTTACGGAAAGACCCACTGCCACCCTAACAATCAGGCTGTAAGAGTTTACTAATTGGTGGTTTGCTTTGAAGTCGGAGTGCATTTGCCTGAGAGGTAAGGAACCAGCAGTCTGCCTACAAATAAGCTAGATCAGTAAAATGGATGTGCACTCACAACTCAAGTTCTAGAACAAGACTAAAGTTCAGAAGTTGACGAACAACCAGAACTTTTTTTCCAGAGTTTACAGCCGGTGAACCTAAACAGTAGAATGGGAACCACTGTGGATAGACCTGCGTATCGAAAAGTTGTGGGTTTAAATCCGAAGGAAGCTTAGCCTTTTTTTTTTTTTAAATGACCTTGTCTTTGAGCATGTCACGTTAAATAAGTACCAGGTAAAGTTCTGGGAAGTAAAGGTGACTGGCATGATGTTAACCAGATCCCCCATCGAGTTCAGATTGGTCTGTAAAATACAGGTCCAGCCCTATATGCCCAATACGCCCGAAGATGTGGACAAGGGATCCTTTTATGTGTGGGCTGATGTTTTCAGTCAGACAAGTGCTGTCTCTAAATGGAAAGTTGGCAACAGTGGATCTCTGGCCCTATGGTCACCTTGGTTGTATCTCTGTATGGTTTCCGGGGCCTCAGTTTTGGGGGGAAGATAAGTATAGGCACACTGCTCCCCCCTTCCCTTTTGTACCTCTCCTCCCTCTGAATCAGCATGTGGTAAAAGGCGGCTAATTAAGGGCTCTTGCTTTGAAGTGGGAGTGCATCTGCATGAGAGGCGAGGAACCAACAGTCTGCATACAAATAAGTAAAATGGAACAAGACTAAAGTCCAGAAGTGGACGAACAACAGAACTTTTTTGCCTTTTTGTTTCCAGCAGGTGAATACAAATACTTTAAGAAATAGAAATCAGAACACACAGGAAACTTTTACCCAAATACAATTTTTTTGATCTTGTCCAGATGCGCTCTGGGGGAGGTGATGCATCTGATGACAAGAAGTCGACTGGTGTCAGCAAGACCCCCTGGTGTGTCAAGGTACAACATGTTTGTTCTTTAACTCTGTTGTGTATTAGTACTCACCACAATGTTTAAAATAAAGAGTGCAACTATTCACCACACAGTATCTTATTACAGTAGCTCTGATATAATGATGGCATACAGAAAGGTGCCAGTACTGACAAAAGAGCCCTGGTTTTTGTGTCTTATGTGTGTAGTTTAAAAAAAAAAAAAAAACCTGATGTGTAACATTACAATAACCAGCATATCTCAGATGTTGTAATGTTACATAGCAGATTTTTTTTTAAACTAAAAAAAGCTGAAGGTTGCTGAAGAGTATTATAATCAGTTTGTTGTATTCATAACTTCTTCATGTCTTCTTTGAATTCACTAGATGTAAACTTTGGCACATGCCTTCTTTGAATTCACTAGATGTAAACTTTGGCACATGTCTTCTTTGAATTCACTAGATGTAAACTTTGAGACATGTCTTCTTTGAATTCACTTGATGTAAACTTTGGCACATGTCTTCTTTGAATTCACTAGGTGTAAACTTTGGCACATGTCTTCTTTGAATTCACTTGATGTAAACTTTGGCACATGTCTTCTTTGAATTCACTTGATGTAAACTTTGGCACATGTCTTCTTTGAATTCACTAGATGTAAACTTTGGCACATGTCTTCTTTGAATTTACTAGATGTAAACTTTGGCACATGTCTTCTTTGAATTCACTTGATGTAAACTTTGGCACATGTCTTCTTTGAATTCACTTGATGTAAACTTTGGCACATGTCTTCTTTGAATTCACTTGATGTAAACTTTGGCACATGACTTCTTTGAATTCACTTGATGTAAACTTTGGCAAACGTCTTCTTTGAATTCACTAGATGTAAACTTTGGCACATGTCTTCTTTGAATTTACTAGATGTAAACTTTGGCACACGTCTTCTTTGAATTCACTTGATGTAAACTTTGGCACATGTCTTCTTTGAATTCACTTGATGTAAACTTTGGCACATGTCTTCTTTGAATTCACTTGATGTAAACTTTGGCACATGACTTCTTTGAATTCACTTGATGTAAACTTTGGCAAACGTCTTCTTTGAATTCACTAGATGTAAACTTTGGCACATGTCTTCTTTGAATTCACTAGATGTAAACTTTGGCACATGACTTCTTTGAATTCACTAGATGTAAACTTTGGCACATGTCTTCTTTGAATTCACTAGATGTAAACTTTGGCACATGTCTTCTTTGAATTCACTAGATGTAAACTTTGGCACATGTCTTCTTTGAATTCACTAGATGCAAACTTTGGCAGAAAGTCCTGGTTGTCTGTCTACTTCTAGGCTTTCTTTTTTTCAGGACTTACGTTTTGCCTGCACATCTATTTTACAGATCTGACTTACTTATATGCAGACTGTTGGTTCCTCGCCCCTCTTGGATACGCTCTGACCTGGAAGGAAATGTCAGAACTATTGGATGACTGCGGTGTAGATAATTCTTTTACAGTCTGTGCCTTGTCCTGGTAACATGCTTTGGAAAATAGAAATGTACGTATTGTGGGGTGCCGCTTGTCCCACCTGGCAGGACTGAGGTCAGAAACAGGGGTTTTCTGCCCAGGATGTTTATGCTAGTGTCTGGGGCATTGAGCAGGCTGATAGGTTGACTGTCACCTCTTTTATTAACTGTGCTAATTTAAGATAAGCAGACGTGGTGATGACTGGGGATTCAGTGAATAGGGACACAGAACAGATTATCCACACCTGGCGAGATTGCTTGTTCCTCTTCTTTTGTTGTCCTATTTTTACACCTGCTCTATTGCCCCCGTCTCTTGTTTATTTAAAAGGAACAAAGGCCAGTTGCAGATCTTTTACAGTAGGTTGCAGAATCAACCCCAGCATGATTTGGCTGTTTGTGATTTTGCTAAGTAGTTTTACATTCAGACGTTTGAGAGTTCTTCCTGAATGGTCAGTGCCTTATACTGTTGTTGAAATCAACATGGTCTGCTGCCAGTTCCCTTGCAGCTGGAATCCAACTGGGTATTTTGGAATTATGAAATCTTCTTTTTTGCTTTCACCAGCTGTAAACTCCAGCAGAAAGTTCTTGTTGTTGTCCACTTCTGGACTGCAGTCCTGTTTCAGAACCTGAGTGTTGTGTGTACATCCGTTTGACAGATCTGACTCATTAGTGTGCAGACTGTTGGTACCTTGCCTGTCAGGCAGATGCACTCCAACTTCGAAGGAAGCTCCCAATTAGTTGACTCCTACGACAGGCTTTTGTGTAGGCAGTGGGTCTATTCTTGTTTTCCCTATAACAGGACCCTGGGCCTACACGGGAAGAATTCTGAAGCCACGGATACTGACTTAACAAGAACATGAATCTACTATTGTGCTGTTGATCCATTTGATCAATAGTGCAAGATACTTCTTTGCCATGTCTCCCAGTAAGTAATCTTCTTTTCGTCTCTACTCCTGGAATGCCTCGCGGCATGAGGGCAGGAAGAGATCTCTGGAAACGGGCCCTTCTGTTTGCTTCCTATAAAGCACTTTCAGTGTCTCCCATATTTCCATGATCCATCTTCTGCGTGGTCGACCTCTGGCTCTGCTACTGCTGTATCTGTATAACATTGCTCTCTGTGGTGCCCTGTCTGTTTGCCAATTTTGTTGCATGGCCAAACCATTTGATATTGTATACTGATAAAGTTCAGTTTGGTTCTGTGCCGAATCTTGTCATGATATCATCGTTCCTAAGTGAATCTTTCCTTATCACACCTAGCATCATGCGTACACATTTCCTTTCTGTTGTGACTAATTTTCTTCTGATGTAGTTGTGTAATCTTATGTTGTTTGTCTCATCTAGTTCATCTCTAAGGGAGGGCTGAGTCACATGATGGAGATCTTCATGAATGGATCTCTGCAGTCTAAGGAAGGCAACATCTGGAGCCAGGTGAGAAGGCCCATAATCTACTATCATATTACACAAATAGTTATATAGATATCTTGTTGGATGTGTTAAGTTCTTAAACAAAATCCTTGTACACCGGTAGCCGTTGTAAAAAATAACCCACAAATCCAGGACTCTGCTGCTCTATGCCTATAAAAAAAAAAAAAACTGATCACTAAAATTTTTTTTTTTAAATATATACATTCAAACACATTTTTTGTAAAGTAACGGAAAGTTATTAATGAATGAAGTGGAGAATGAGAGATTTCTTTCCATTGGCCCTAAAAAAATTAACGTGGTGGCTCATATGGTGACCTTTGACACTAATTATCAAAGGCTAAAGGGGAATTATCATAATGATGTTATAATGACTGAAAAACATTTTATTTAACGACAGTATAACAATCCTCCACACCCCGCTTCATCCCCATAAACTAGTGTTAGTTAATATAACCATATTCTGGGCTTCTGAAATCTGCACAGGCACAAACAGAACCAGTGCCATTAACTAGGCTTGTGGATGACTGACCAGTGCGGCAATCCAGGTTTAGCAGCTTCTTCTGAATGAGTAAAGCACAGTGATGCAGGATTAGGTACTTTAATAGGGCCGGAGGGTTTAACTTGACATATTATGGCGATTGCTTTGACAAGTAATCTTTAGTCCCAAGCCAGTAAGAAAAAAAAAAAAAAGTAGCATCTCCCTTGTTAGACAGGTCAAAAGATAGGGACCAGAGGAGAGAGACATAAATCCTACGCCCCCTTTGTGGGTTTTCGGGGAATAATCGATCCACTGCCCCTTAACAAGGATGCTGTAAAAGGTGTCTAATTTAGGGTGTGCTGAAATCAGATGTGTTGGGCAGAAAGTCGCAGATGTAGCAGACTAGCTGTAAACTACAACACAACCACACTTTTAAGGGCAAGAACAGAAAAAATCTCATAACAGGAACCATATTTTTGCGCTATACACGGAATGTTTTAAAAATATTTATTTCTTTTTTTTGGGGGCTAAAAAACAAACAAAATAAGGGTTGTCTTATACACGAGGGCGACATATACACAGAACAGTACGGTACATAGGTAGACTGTGAGACAGTCAAAAGCTAGGGGAAGCAAACTAGAAAACCTGCTTGCTAAAATTGGATGTACTGTGCCACAGATTTGATGAAGCTGTGCACCGCTCTTCACACTTCATGACAACCACAATTATTAAAATGATGATATTCATGTTTGACAACAATGTGTGTACTTCTTTGTGTTGCCTAGTGGAACCAGGAATGTCTGGGCTACATGCTGCGACTGATCTCTCAGTTCTCGGTCGATGAACCCGGCCAGGGAGAGGCGGAAGGCAGCAGTCCCAGAAACAGGAGGGCTGTCAACAAGAAAAACGCTGCCTTTGTCATCTCGACAATATCACAGGTGAGTTGACAGGCTGGGTTTCTCTTTGTTTGCCTTGTCTGTGGGTTGGACATGACAGGAGATTCCATGGCAAACACAACTGTTGTGGAGTGTTTGACTTTCACATTTACTAGATTTAAATAATGTGGACATAAACAATACATTGTACAATTTATTGCCTGGCATATTTCACTTTCTCTTCAGGGGGGGGGGGGGGGGGGGGGGGGGGGGGGGGGGGGGGGGGGGGGGGGGCATTACTACAGAGTTAAATCAACACATAATGAAGCACACAATAAATCCTTTGTCTTGCTGAAATGCATAAACCACATTGTCCAATCTATCCACCAGAAATTTAAAATCAGTCACATGATTACCATGGTACCTTCAAATTGATCTCATGATCTTTCTGTTCACATCTTCTTTGCATTCGGTTTCATATACTCAGATCAGACCATCAGGTGGGTTGCCTCTATGCATACCATAGTAGAGTAGAGGTTTATTGCTACAGCCTCGATCACTTCAGGCAAACGTTTGTTCGGTGTGTGGTAAATATACTAGATTATCATTTCAACGGTGAAGATCTTATTATAAATTTTTTCTGCCTAATCTTACACTTGCTTTCTGTGTGTATAAATATTGTTACTAAAATAAAGTCTGTTGGGCTCAGTATTACTGTAGTACTCTTCACCTTATCCCCATCATCTCTCTCTCTCTCTCTCTGTCTCTCTCTCTCTCTCTCTCTCTCTCTCTCTCTCTCTCTCTCTCTCTCTCTCTCTCTCTCTCTCTCTCTCTCTCTCTCTCTCTAACTCTCTCTCTCTGTCTTCCCCTCCTCTCTCTGTCTCTCTCTCTTTCTCTCTCCCTCTCTCTCTAACTCTCTGTCTCATCTGTCTCCCTCTCTTTCTCTCTCTCTCTCTCTCTCTCTCCCTCTCTCTCTAACTCTCTGTCTCATGTCTCCCTCTCTTTCTCTCTCTCTCTCTGTCTCATCTGTCTCCCTCTCTTTCTCTCTCCCTCTCTCTCTCTCTCTCTCTCTCCCACTCTCTCTTTCTCTCTCACTCACTCACTCACTCACTCACTCACTCACTCACTCACTCACTCACTCACTCACTCACTCACTCACTCACTCACTCTCACTCACTCTCACTCACTCACTCACTCACTCACTCACTCACTCACTCACCCACAGTAGGTTTGTGTTTGATTGATTAATGAGTATAGGATTAGAAAAGAAATAGAAAGCAACAAAAACTAAACAAAGGGACAGACACAGAAGAGCTCTTGTAAACAACTAGATTTGCTCTGGTGTGAGGATGTGCTGAACTATATGTGCAGTTGAGATGTTTTATTAATACATGTCTTTGTGTGTGTTTCCTGGTCTCTCTCTAGTCTATACTGGAAAAGTTGGATGTGCAGACTGTTGTGAGGATCCTCATGCAAATTCTCTATGATGCTGCAATGCCAATGTAAGTATATCTCCTTGCTCACTCACTCACTCACTCGCTCGTTTGCTCACTCACTCACTCACTCACTCACTCACTCACTCACTCACTCACTCACTCACTCACTCACTCACTCACTCACTCACCCACCCACTCACACTCTCCCTTTGAGTTTTCTTCCTATTTTACAGCATAGAAACAGTTGAGACACTGTCATCTTGTACTTATACCCAATGATGTAGAAGGAATGGAATTTCTGCAGAATAATGTCCCCCCTGTGAGTTCCAAGGCTTTTACTTCATTGCAGGGGTAAAGAACGAAGAATTGATTGATTTAATTACAAAATTATTATTCCTACGTTTGGTTACAAATGATGTCTCACTGAATATTATTGTGTCAGTATTCATATTTGGACCTCTTTTTTTTTAGACATTTCTATATTTATTACATGATGATTGCACATATACAGTGTATATTTTAACTTCACAGGGATTCTAACCAGCTGTACTGTGGTACATGGGGAAGGAGGGAAGGTAAATATATTTCATAGTTTTTAAGAAAAATTTCCTCTTCTCTGTAAGAATGTCTAGTAAAATATTTGTGGTTGTCATTCGTGAATGCAACAGTAACAGTACTATGTGAAGACCCTTTACACGCCTTTAGCCATGTTGAGCATATAGCGCTAGACCTATATTTCTATAGACCAGTCAGCACTTGGTGGGTGATCTGGTCAACAGTACTATGAACACCACAAATGTAACCACACCAAACATACTCCCTTAACATCGCCAGCTTTATCCCATTAAAACCACTTACTCTACCTGAAAAGCATCACCAACCCCAAATTTACCCCTCGCCCCAACCCCTTTCCCTCCCCCGGTATTTACTATTTACTCATGCCAGATTTTACAAAGACTGTAAATATCGTACATGTCTATACATTTCACTGCTGGGCGATCAGGATATAAGTGACTCCTTGAGTATGAAGGTATATGAGGCAGGAGAACTGGCGAGAGACCGAGTTTCTTTCAGGCAGACTGTGATGAGAGCGACGTTCTGCAGAGGACCTGCTACAAGATGATGATGAGACTAACTAGCGGTCTTTTCTTTGATGTCCGAGTTAATCTGTCTGAGAGATGAGGAACCAACAGTCTGCACATTAAAAAAAGCTAGCTTTGTAAAATGGATGTGCAAGCAGAACTCACATTCTGAATCAAGACCAAAGTCCAGACATGGACGGACAATCCAAACTTTCTGCTGGGGTTTACAGCCAGTAAACACTACGAGGAAAATTAAGACATCTCTGCCATTATGCAACCTTTGCCTTGCTGTGAAATTGCTTATTAAATATCCTGCTATTTACTGTGAATATATATATATATATATATATATATATATATATATATATATATATTTTTTTTTTTTTTTTTGGTTTTTTGTTTAAAAAAATGTATTTTGGTCTTTTCTTTCAGTTGTGCAATATGCCATGTCTTTCTTGGTGTCGCTGGCATTCTCATGCGATAGAGTGCTTGACTACCTCTGCAATGCAGACAACTTTCACATCTGGCTGAAGAGGCTCACTTTAGAAGCTCCAGAGGTAATCTAAGGCGGTGGTGGTTTTTTGCCTATAGGTCCCTGCTTTGTATGTGCATGTATGTGTTTGTATGTGAGCATCAGAGTAGCATTGGAGTTGAGATCTTGTTAATGCGGTGTGCATTCAGTGTCAGAGATAAATATTAGGAGTGTTTATTAGAGTCCTGTTTGTGCAGTACCACACGTAATTCCATGTGTCGAACATGATCATGTCATAACTGTGTGATAAGTACTGACTAATGAATAACACAGAACAGTGATCCCCAAACTGTGTGCCCCGGGGACCTCTTCACACGGGCGCCACGAAATATTTGAGGATACACAACCTTTTTTTTTTAATCTCTTACATACGAATACTTTTACTTAGGTTAGGACGCCATGGACAATTTTTTTTGTAGAAAAAAGGTGCCGCGACTAAGAAAAGTTAAGGAAATACTGACATACAACATGCTTATTATTCCATGATACATAGGTTCTGATTCTGACTTTTGATAAAATGGCTTTGTTGGTCCAAAATCTGTCTAAAAAAGCTCAGAGAGCAGTAATTTGATTTTTCACTAGAAGGAAGAACCAGTGGACATTCATTGGAGAGGATAGGCAGCATACAGTAACAGATGTGTGGTAGACACATGGTTCAGTGATCAACCACATTCCTTTTTTTTTTTGCAGACAGCATTCATTGCCTACCTAAGCAGTGGGGTGCTTGCCTGAATGCCTACGTTGACCTTTTCTGTTCAAAATAAATGATTTGTGCCGTACCTGTTAATGTTTGTTGTAGTAAGAGGGGGGAGGGTCACTTAGAGAGTCACAAAGACACATCATGTACATCTGGTTTTCTCAGGCCCATGTGCGCAAGCAGGCCTGCCTCGGGCTCCACCAGCTGTGCCTCGGCAAGACCAAGCAAGAGAAGAAGGGGACACCATTCCTGGCTCCAGTGTTGGAGCAGCTTCTGACCTTCCTGTCTGATACAGAGCTCTTCAAACCAAAGAAACACGAGGTAACTTGTCACTGCTTGCTTCATTTATCTTTTTATTTTAGTGCTAGCATATTATATTTATCTTCTAACTCTTTTTGTCCCAAACAATGCACTATGCGTGTTTGGGTAATATTCACCTGTACCAGTCAACACGTTATGTTTGTTTTTACATCAGATATTTAGGACTGGACTCTGAAGTACTCTGCAAGGGTTGTATATATGGACCCCTCAGGAAGTAGCATACCCATAAGTTTAGTATTGTCATCCTTATTCACTCGGAGTGATGTCTTGTGAAATTTTTTTAATAATGAAATCGTATTTAACAGTTATTTGTAACTACTCATTTTTACAGATTTGTTTTATTTTAACTGATTTTTTTGGAGTTGACATACTTTAACAACTTTAAGCAGTTTTTCAGTAGCTCTAACTTGATATGGGGCCAGACTTTTTGCAGAAATGACCTTGGCTACCAGGTTCACCCAATCTTGAATGGGTACTAGGTCCAGTCCTGGGAAGTAAAGGCGGCTGGCATGATGCTGGCCACATCATCCACCAAGTGCTGTTTGGTCTATAAAATTTCCCCGTGTAGTTTCCCGGGTCCCGTTGTGGGGAAAACAAGAATAGACCCACTGCTGCCCCAACAAACATGTTATAAGAGTCGGCTAATTGGGGCTCTCTTAAAAGTCAGAGTGCATCTGACTTAAAGATAAAGAACCAACAGTCTGTAAATAAATAAGCAAGATCTGTAAAACAAGATGCACATGCAAAACTCAGATCCTGGAATAATGCCAAAGTCCAGCAATGAATGAACAACCAGGGTTTATAGCTGGTGAAAGTAAACAACAAACAACAACAATTGAACATTATTGCTGTTTTTAATTATGTTACATTTGTTGCCGATAAATTACATTTGTTGCCGATAAATTATGAAATTTCGTGTCTCTTAGATGGACTTCACCAGAGAAGATAAGGAGATCTATGGAGCCGGTTGCCACGACTACTTTATCTTTCTTCCCATGTGCCTGGACGAGCTGGACCCTCAGCAGGTAGGCTGATGGTTTTATCTGATTTCCATGATTTATTAAATCATATTTTCTTTATCATATTTTCATGATTTTTAGAATCATATTTTCATGAAATTTTTTTAAATCTAATTCCCATGATATTTTTTTTAATCTAATTCCCATGATTTTTTTAAAACCATATTTTCATGATTTATTTTATAATTTTTCCATGATTTTTAGAATCATATTTTCATGATTTTATCATATTTCCATGATTTTTAAAATATTTTCATGATTTTATCATATTTCCATGATTTTTTAAAATCATATTTTCATGATTTATTTTATCATATATATATATATATATATAATTTCCCAACAGAATAAGAGTAAACAAAAGTCACGAATGTAGCAGAGAATTAACTGCGTTACTTTTTGAGCTGAAACATTTATATTATGGCTCATTCTTGACCTTGTGACCTATTTCTATTTATAGGAAATTCTGGCATCATAGCTTCTATTTAAAAAGCCATTTTCTCATGAAATCCCAGCTAAATGCTATTTTTTTTTAAAGCAAATATAATCATTCGCTGTGCTCTTAAATGTTGGCACAAGTGTTAACAATACCAGGTTTCTCTTGAGCAGGCCACTGTAAAAAGGCATGTCGGTAAAGCTACATTTATGGGGGAAGTGTCATGTAACTGAAAATGTCATTTTTGCAGGTTCTCTGGGGGAAAGAGTTAAGAAAAATGCAACAGTTTAGCCCGTATCAAGACACAGGCAGCTGTTGATTCTGTTTTCACCGTCTTCAAATTTGTGTTGTAATTTTCTGAAAATATTGTTCCTGTCAGCAACATTAGAGAGAAACAAGCGTTTTTACCATTTTCAGACGAACATCAACATGGATGCCCTTCTGAAGCAGGTCACGGACGACATCCTCAACCGGCCCTACTATGAGACGCACAAGGGTTATGAGGAAGATGAAGGTTTGATTGGATTGTTGAATGTTGCAGCAGCCCTGTACAGACACAGGCCTTCTTTTGTGCAGTCGGATGAGAATGTAGTAAGTTGCCTGTGTTTCTCGTTCTAGCCTTCTCTTTTTTCTTTTTTTGCGGATCCTCTTTCTTCTTCTCCTTTTTCTCTTCTAATTCTGTCCTCCATCTTCTGTTCCTTCCCCCCTTCTTCTTCTATTCTTTTCCTCTCTTCCTGTGTGTTCTCCTCTTCTCTTATTCCTTATCTCCCTCCTCCTCCTATTTTTTTAAAAAAACTCATATCCTTCTTCTTCTGCTCATATCCCTTCTCTTCCTTCTATTTTTTTTTTGCTCCTGTCCCTTCTACTCCTTCTATTCCTTCTATTTTTTTTTTAAATGTTGACTTAAGAATTGAACTCACAGCACTCGGGACACCCCCATAAGCGCTCCTTTCCATGTTCAGCAAGAGCCGAAGAGTTCCAATTCTAGTGACACCAGTAACTGTCTAATTGTATATACATCTCGCTTTTCCCTTAAGTGTGGAGTGTCACTGGTAGACCTGAGGTTGCCCAGCAGGCATGTCGAAAAAGCTGACTAATCACAGGAGTTTAATTAGAAGTCAGAGTGCATCTGCATGAGAGGTGAGGAACCAGCAGTCTGCACACAAATAAACCAGATCTCTAAAATGGATGTGCATACAAAACTCCAAGTTCTAGAACAAGACCAGAAGTGGACGAAGAATCAGAACTTTCTGCCAGAGTTTACAGACAGTAAATGCAAAGAATAATAGTTTTTACTGAACTTATGTAGGATTCATATCATGCCAGTTTTGTTCTAAACCAGATTCTGTAGTAACGTGTTGCAGCTTCAAATTGATGAGATATTGTTCTTCTTCTTTTTCTACCAGCGATTTCTGGACTCTCTCTTTGACTTCCTGTTCCAAGTTCCCAGTCCCAGACTGCCATATCTTCCCAAGTGTAAGAGCCTGAAGACACGCCAGGCTGCATACGACCTCATTGCCGAAATGTGTAACGGGGTCATGAGAAACTATTCCAGTGCTGTCGACAAGTTCATGAACCAGAATAAACGAGGTAAGTAGTTTTTCATGTGTCATCATAAAAAAGTTCCAGACTTGTAATTGAATTATATCCTGTTTTGCTGAGATGCATTATTGATAAATTAAAAAGTTATATTTTTTAAAATTCCTTGATACCTAACCCTTAAGCCCCAGGAAGCCGCAAACCCAGCACATCTGGTAAGTTTCCACACACACACGCACACACACACACCACCCCCCCCCCCCCCCCACACACACACATACACACAAATGCGGCTTACAGCATTTCTGCAGTGACCTTTTTATAAGATGCCGAGGTAACGTAATTGGTTGTGTTTGCAGTTTCACAGTGATAAGGTCAGGATATTACTATATCCACTAAATATAGCATTTAGAGGGTTTTTCTTGGCTTTTAGTTTGATATTTAGTCTTGTAACATTTCAGGTTTATGTGTGATCCTGTAACATCTCATAGTTTTTTTGTGGGATCTTGTAACACCTCAGGTTTATATGTGATCCTGTCATCTCATAGTTTTATGTGTTATCCTGTAACATCTCATAGTATTATAGATGATTCTATCTCATAGTTTTATGTGTTCTTGTAACGTCCTCTAGTTTCATATATTATCTTGTAACATCTCAGGTTTTTATGTTTTTTGTAAGTTTTATTTGTGATTCTGTATCATCTCATAGTTTTTCTTGTTGATCTTGTAACATCTTATAGTTTTAAATGTGGTCTTGTAACATCTCAGTTTCATATATAATCTTGTAACATTGTGTAGTTTTGTGTGTGATCTTGTAACATTCTGTAGCTTTATATGTGTGATCTTAGGATATCTCATAATTTTATGTTTTCTTATAACATCTCATAGTTTTATGAGTAATCTTGTAATATCTCATTATTTTATATGTGGTCTTGAAACATCTCATAGTTTTATGTGCAATTTTGCTAATGCGACAGTTAGTAGTTTCAAAAGTGATCTTCCAACACGTCATAGTTTTATTTGTGATCTTGTAACACCACAGTTTGTATGTGTGCTATTGTGACATCTTATAGTTATTTTAATGATTTTGTGACACCTCACAGTAAGCATGTGTCCATAAAAATGTTCTGTCTGTCTCTCTCTGAGCAGAAGCCCATTCCCCTTATGCCTGGGACTATTGGCCACAAGAAGATGGTAGAGCCAAGTGTGGCTACGTGGGCCTGACCAATCTGGGAGCTACCTGCTACATGGCTACAGCCATCCAGCAGCTGTTCATGATCCCCAGGCTGAGGCAGGCAGTGCTGCACTTCCAGGTAGCCTTGTAGCTAGTTGTTAAATGATTGAAAAATCAAGAGTTGATAAAAAAAAAGTATAAGAGTGATTAGTATACTGTAATAATACATGTATATCCTTGCCTTAGGAACAGTGATATCAGTACTGAACTTTATCTGTAGACAACAAATCAAATGGTTTGGCCATGTAACAAGACTGGCAACAAACTGGCAACCACAGAGAGCAGTGTTATACAGATACAGCGGTAACAGCCAGAGGCTGACCATGAAGAAGATGGACCGTCGCAAAATCTGGGACAATGACAAGTACTATATATGAAGCGAACAGAAGGGCTTGTTCCTGAGATCTCTTCTTGCCCTGATGCTGTGGAACATTCCAGGAGTGGAGAAAAGAAGAAGACCACCGGTTTTTTTTTTGTATGGACTTTATGTTCGTCCTAAGCAGAGTTTGTGTTAATGAGGTTTTACTGTATTATGTCGCCTGAATATAGTTTAAGGATTTTAAAGTTTTTTTAAATATCCCCTGCAGCTGACCTATCAAGCCATCAGGATATTATTCTACTGCTTGTTAGAATGTAAGAAAGTAAAACAGGACACGGAGAGCAGCTAAAACAGTTGAAACTGCAAACATTCATTCACTAATGCCTGCTCAGAATAGAGGAAATTAAATAGAAGGATATCGCCATAAGTGTCGACTAATTGGGGGAATCCTTTCAAATTTGAAGTGCATCTGCCTGAGAGGCAAGGAACCAACAATCTGCATACTAATAAATCAGATCTCTAAAATGGATGTGCATGCAAAACTCAGGTTCTGGAACAAGACTAAAGTCCAGAGGTGGACGAACAACCAGACCTTTCTACCGGAGTTTACAGCTGGTGAACGTAAAGAAGAGAAAGAAGAAGAAATGTTACTAGAATCACTCATGTTGAGCTTTGGAAGAGAACTGAACAAATTCTAGTGAATCAGGAGGTGAGGAAAAGATGCTGGCATTGAATTAGACACATGTTGAGAAAACCTGAGAACAATCTGACTAGAAGGGCTTTACTTTAGAACCCACAGGGACATAGAAATAGAGGCAGACACAAAATACATACATCGAGAAGGCAGTTAGAGAGGGGAGTTAAAATATGGGAAGGAGACTGGATGAGCTGCATGCTATAGCAAAGAATAGGATGACTTGGCATGAGTTAGTTGAGAGCCTATGCTCCACTAGGCGATTAGGGACAGAAGACGAAGATAACTGGACTGAGGTGAATGAAAATGAACCTGGCAGTGTCAAAGGAAAGGTAAACAGTCCTTGCAAACCCATGTATGTGAAGTACAGAGTCACCAGGTGGGTTCCAGGAGCCAATTGTGGAGAGAAAAAAAAAAAGGGAGGGGGGTGCATGGAGAAAATAGACTCTTTGTCCCCCAGCAAGCAGATTGTAGAGGTGACTAATTAGGGATTTTTTCTTTAAAATTAATCTGCCTGAGAGGCAAGGAACCAACAGTCTGCATACACATAACCTATATCTGTCAAACGGATGTGCATGCAAAGTGAAGTTCAGGAACAAGACTAAACGTTCTGAAGTTGACTAACAACCAGAACATTCTGCCAGAGTTTACAACCGTTCAATGCAAAGAAGAAGAAGTAGTTCACTAGAGGTACAGAAATGTAGAGTTGACATCTGATAATCTTCCTTTCAGGTTGATGACTCTGGGCCCCACTCCCCTATGATGATGGAGCTCCAGCACATGTTTGCATATCTACAGGTAAGTTTCTTTCAGAGACCCCGGAGTTACTATAGACCAGCAGTTCTCAGTCTGTGGGTCGGGACCCCTTTGGGGGTGGAACAACCCTTTCACAAAGGGTCGCCTAAGACCATTAAAAAAAAACCAGATATTCACTGAAGTTATGAAGTAGCAACGAAAGTAATTTTATAATTTTGAGTGGCCACAACATGAGGAACTGTATTAAAGGGTCGTGGTATTAGGGAGTTTGAGAACCTCTGCTATAGACTGATATATAACTACCATTACTGCCTGTGTTTACTGTGTTTGAAGTGTAAACAAAAAGGTGGGGGGGGGGGGGGTGTTTGGAGGTATTTGAACCTGAGGATTTAGTTTGCAGGGTCGACATGGATTGTGCAGGTAAGGATTTTAATTTTGACTTCACTAACAGCCAAAAAAAACTCACCACAGCCTTATTAAAGATTTGAACCGGGTTCTTCCACATGAGTCAAGCCTTCCTACTGTTCTGCCAGTTGCTCTAGGACAATTACAGAAAAATTTCAGACCAAACGAAAGATAGAACTAGTCTGCTTCAGAATATCACAGTCACGAATGGCAGAATTAACGTTGCAGCTAAAGAGCATTCATCAGTATGCAGCCCAAATATATTGGAAACAGCAGTTTATAAATTCCCTTATCTGTCACAGAATCTCTAAAACTCACTTGAACAGTAGATACATCTGGATACCCGTGTTGTTGTACGATTAAAAAGTCCACACACTATCACTGAGTCTGACCAATGTCAGAGGGAAAGATGTTACATTTTCATGGACACAGTATTACATTTGAATACACTTTCTGTTACTTAATCAATTCATACATTTGAATAGGCACAATGTTACATTTTCATGGAAAATCTCAGATCAAGGACTGGAAGAAGCTTGTCAATGCATTCTCAGAGAATGGTGTGGGGGGGGGGGGGGGGGGGGGGTGTCAGACTCATCACTCTAGGGAGAAGACACTTGATGATTATGATGCAGTATTCAATTTAGCACCATAAATTTTGTTTGGGGAGATCACCTTAGTTGAAGTTTTTAAGGTCACGTATATCCTTCTTCCTTTCATTCTTCACTGCCAGTGGTTTTTAGATGAAAAGGCCAAAGGTCTTAGTGAAGGCTGTGGTCTGGCATGTCTTCCACTCATCCATACAACTTGGTTTCCACTGGAATGCTAAATGACCAGACCTGGGGTCTGGTATGTAGAGAGCATACATGCAGTACATATTCAGTATTCTGTGGGTGCTTTTCCATAAGGACACAGTTTCGAGTTCCCCAGTTTTGAATTTCTTGTACATTTAACCTGTGCAGTCTGTTGTGTCCAGCTTACCATCTAAATACATTAGTCTGTTTCTTTTAATGGGATTCTGGATTAAATGTTTTCTAATGACTACCTTGATCTGAGTTTTTCCCTCATAAATAAATACATGCTACATCTAGCTGTTCTCTATTGCTCCAAATTGTTGCTGGGTTATCTACCTTTTCATATATATTATACCATTTTAGTTCATTGTCCAGGGCCCAATGTCTAGTGTCCAGGGTCTCAAGGATGCAGCGGTCATTGCAGGCAGGGTGCTGACTGGAGCTAGATGGAGCTGACTGGGGCTAAACTGGAGCTAGATGGAGCTGACTGTGGCTAAACTGGAGCTAGATGGAGCTGACTGGGGCTAAACTGGAGCTGACTGGAGGCTCCAGTCTAATCAAATACCACATTACTTACTACTACATTATATATTCAGTAGATACGGCACTATAGAAAACACTTGTCTTGCAGGAGAGTGAGCGGAGAGCATACAACCCCAAGAGTTTTTGTAAGACGTACACCATGGACAGGTGTCCTTTGAATACAGGGGAGCAGAAGGATATGCAGGAGTTCTTCACAGACATAATCACCAAGCTGGAGGAAACATCTCCAGATATGGTATGTCTCTGTGCCTGTTAGTGAAATGTTGATTCAGAGGGCTACAGATTTGGTTATATATTCTGACTACTTGTCTTTTTTTTTTTAATAACTCTTCGCTGGCTGCTGAAAATGGGGACGGAGTGCTTATGGGAAGGCCCCAAGTGCTGTGATGTCGGTTCTTCAATCAAATCAACCACTTGTCTTTTGTTCACCACCTTATTTATCTTTGTGTAAGATGCCTCCGTATATAAGAAGACTGTTCCTTTCCCTTTTTTTTTGTAACAAAATATTGAGAAATCTAAATTTTAAACACATTCTCTGCAAAAGTAAAGGACCCTTTTTCCATGCCTTTAGGCATATAGGGCTAGCCCTACATTCTATAGACCATTCGGCTCTTGGTGGGGGATGTGGTCAGCGTTACGCCAGCCACTTTTACTTCCCAGGACTCCACCTGGTACCTATCAGTGCTGGGTTGACCTGAGAGCCAAGGCCAGTTTTGAAGAAGAAAAAAAAAGTCCTGTACCGCCAAGACCCGAACCCACGACCTTCTGATCCACAGGCGAGCGTCTAACCACTACACAACGGTGACTCTCTTCCCTATATAAAAGGACCCCAGCTTGAAACTAAAAAAAAAATTTTTGAAAACGTATCGTCTTATATAGGAGAAATAAGATATACATTTAATCTGACAGTATCTTGTTCCACTTGTGGTGTTGAAGTAAAGTGGGAACAAAATTCCCATTTGTTTGCTTTCAAGTATCAGGGTTTCCAGGCACTGTTACTCTCTCTGTCCATTGTTTACCTGGTCAGCCTCTGTTTCGATTTCCACTTGGTCAGTTCAGTATTGCTCTTTGAGGGGCACTCTCACTTGGAAGCGGGTTTCAATGGCCGAACGATTTCATTTATTTTCTGATAAAATATGGTGTTACCACTCCCCTATTTTCTTTATGATTGAATAATTTCTGATTTTCTTTCTGCTCAGAATGTTTAGTGCTTTTCTAAGGTGATATCTTTGCGTTTAACATGATGATTGTTAAAACAGTATATTTATGTATCTAATATAAACACATAGTTAATGATTTTTTTTATTACTTTTTAACTTTTTTAAAATTTTAATTACTTCCACATTTCAGAAAACAACAATTAAGGAAATGTTTGGAGGAGAAACAACAAACAATGTAGTGTCCTTGGTAAGTATTTTAATTTCTTTTGTTTTTAGTATTTCACTATGTGATTTGTGTTTTTTTAAAATTGGTCGAACAAATAGACAGCTTGGAAATAGTGCGGCAAATCATATACCCCCCAAAAAAAGGGCTACATGCATAGTTCGGTGATTTGTCAAGGTTGTCGAGATCAATCAAGGGGAAAGAACCCACTTCTTCTATAGGACATCATTTACTTAATTCCAGACATGTTATTGACAAGGACAGTGTGTTTACCACACACCGAAAAGACAACTGCTGAGAATAGCCGAAGCTTTAACAATTAAAATCAACAACCCCCTCCTTTGTAAGCAGACATAATTAATAGTAAATATTAAGTTACCCTGGTAAGTCACGTGACTACGGCGTAATTCCGGTGACTAGACAAACACGATGCATCAAAAGAAACCATTCACATTTCAGTTAGATTTATTATGTTTTTTAAATTTCTGCACAAGATGATATGTGTTTCTTTAAAATTATATACTGGTAATTATTTATGTCTATAAATTTCATGTAAAATATGTCTGGCAACACAAGGTTAACTTAATTAGATTTATGATGAATTAGACTGCAATCTATGTTTCGACTCTGTCCACACAAATGCATTTTGCTGTTTGAAACATAAGCTTCTGCTTTCTTTCAGGACTGTAATCATGTAAGCAGAACATTTGAAGAGTTCTACACAGTCAGGTGTGGGGTTGCTCATATGAAAGACCTCTATGTGAGTTGTTTAATTAGTTATCAAGTCAGTAGCAAGATGTTTATATATATAATGATATGTTTGATATAGTGTAATGTTGTTGCGTTTGTTTATATAAATTATTAGACTGTATAGAGGTTTTTTGTTCTCTTTGAAACCTGGAAAAATCTTTGAATTGCAACTTATGTCTTGAAGGTTGGGAAAGGAAAAAAACCAACCTGGAAATTGAAGAGAACAAAGACCAGTCCTTGAAATTTACTTGCCAAAACATGGAAACTGAAAATGAGAGCTAGTTGAAAGAATGTGACTGTAGGCAGTTGGGCCTGTTTTCAGCAGTTTGACTTGTTTTTGTTGGTTCCAAAAACTTCCAGTCATTTCTGGTTGTCAGCTGTGAGCAGAGTGCAGACATGGGGGAAGGAGTCATACTCAATATGTATAGTTATTTATGGGAACCATATGGCACTGTTTATCGTTAACATTAGGGGAAGGTTTGGAGTGGGCAATGTAGGTCATTTAGATTTCCTAACTCTTTGGGGGGGGGGGGGGGGGGGGTGCTGTTCACGTTTGTAATGTG